CCGTAGCCGCCGGTGAATTCGATTCATTTCACCCGTCGAATCTGACAATAATTGAGTTAGTGGTGTGCAGAGAATGAAATTAACAATTCCTCTGATATATTTCTCACTGCCGTCGGCAAGGATTGACATAAAAAATTTACAGAACGAGAAATGGCAGGCAGTGAAGCAGAGGAATATTATCCCTACAATTGTCCTTGAGATTCAGTACACAATCTGATTTATAGATTAAAACATTGATGAAATTCTGTGGAATTTCCCTGAAACTAGCGAGTTAGGAGCTCACGAATTTGTTATTTTCTCAACCTGCGACAGAAGTGCAGAAGATTATTGCCTGAACCTATTGCCTGACTGATATACGTAGATCACAAAAAGATCAGACGACCTGGAGCTCATACAAAAGTCTCAACTAGATCATTAGTCCCTCCTGACTATCCCCCAGACATTGAATAAGAACCTATCGACGCGAAAAGATCAATCATCCCCTGAGTTGTAGCTAATAGTCAGACTCAACCAGCCTTGATATCCAAGTGTGATTGTAAACGACACGAAAACATGGGGTGAGAAGCATTAGCGAAGGAGTCGAGATTAATCAGGACTCTCAACGCCGGCACAAGTCGATGGGCCAACACTTTGTGGGTGAAGTACGACACGAGAGGGACAGGACTAGACCGACATCAATCTCTTTGCTTGTTCCTCGTGGCATTAATTCGGTACCCCCTGTCCAATCGTTTCACACCCCCTGGATGTTTCGACGCCTCTCAACCCCTTCAGTGACTGGAGACACTCGATATCTCTTGACGTGGGTCAGTGATAAATAAGTGTCGATGTATTTACGGCTAGCCAAGACCTTCCCTCGAGTTAATTAATTGGAGGGACAACTTAATGAGAAACTACTTCAGAATCTTGTTCATAGATATCCAACGCTGTTACAACATTATTGCACTTGAGACTGAGGGTGAAACCTCTGTACTTCACTGCGTAATTTTCAACGAGATATCAATTCAAAGAATTCCTCAAGAAATAAACCCCAAAAATATAGACCCATGTTAAATTTCTTATTGTCTACGTTGGTTGGGTTTTAAAACGTTTTCGATGTGTGCCCTATTTTTTTTTTTGTCTATTTCTGGTGCTTGGCAAATATTTATAATTATTGTGGCTGGCAAATAAACGAATGAAATATTTCAAACTCTCGGATTTCTTGTAGGGCATGGAGATTGACTCGAATTAAGGAAAAAAAATCATGAAATGATTAGCGAGTGGAAGTTAATGAAGAATGAATTTCGAAAGAAATGTAATGAGAGCTGCGCTTTATTTACTGAGAATGAGTAATTTCAGCTCAATTCATGAAAAGTTATAAAATAATTCCGTGACTCGTAATTACCATTAATTCATTAACCCGCTATTGTACAAATATCACCGGCAAAACCCCAAGAATAATAGATAAAATTTTAAAGTCACAACCATTTGACGGTGGCTTAAATTTTAATGAGCACCAGCGGAAGAAGAAGTCCCATTCATTCCCGAGGGCATGTTGAGAACTGACAAAACAGTTGATATGGGGATGGTATAGAAGCTGGATTATGAATGGACTCGCAGTGGACGAATAAAAATAAAAGTGGAAATAGGGGAGCCCCTGAGGAAAGTCCAACGGTCGTGAAAAAAAAATCTCGAAGGATAATCGAGAACGTGGGTGGCAGTCGAAGAACGAGAAGAAAAAAATATAGAAATAAAAGGAAAGGGCGCGACGAATAATCTGACTTGAAATTATCCGAAAGTCTATTAACTCAATTTTATCCTTGGCCCCACGCGGTTAATAATTTCTTTAAATGTTGAGTTACAGAATTATATGAATTTT